GGTTCTGGGAGGATATGTGGCTTGGCATAGCACCACTTAAACACAGACTCCCCTCCCTTTATGCCTTGTCCAACTGTAAAGGGTCCACGATCAAGGAGGAAATGCTTCTATCTGGCAGTAGTAGGACGTGGAACCCATCCTTTAGAAGGTCGCTTTCTGATGATGAACTCCTTTTTTTCTCCAATCTCAACGCTGATCTTCATGGCATATTCTTATCACAGTCAGGGAGAGATTCTATGACTAGGACCCCTTCCCCCACTAGGAAGTTCTCAGTAACCTCATTATATAAGGTTTTGATAGAGGGGAACGATAGGATACACCCATCAAGCAAGGCGTGGGAGTTTATCGCTCCACCAAGGGCCCAGTTCTTTCAGTGGTTAGCGATTGAAGATAAACCCCTCACAATAAATAACCTCCAGAAAAGAGGATTCCGATTTCCTAACAGATGTATAATGTGCCTTAAGGATGCAGAAGCTGTTTCACATCTGCTAATACATTGCGAGTTCGCTTACTCTGTTTGGAGTAAAATCAGGCTCTCGTGGGTGATCCCATCGTCAATCCAGTCCCTGGTTGCCCATTCCTTCGAGGACAAATGGAGGAAATCTGGGAAGATCCTATGGAAAGCCTCGCTAGCCGCTAGCCTCTGGTATATTTGGGGGGAAAGAACTCTAGGATCTTTCTAAGAGAGAAGAACACTATCCAGAAACTGTTCCATAAAATAACATCCTCTGTTATTTTCTAGGCCTCTCACCATGAACAATTTGTAGGCATTTCTGCCTCCTCCTTTATCTGGGATAGCCTTCTTTTCCGTAACCACCAGAGAAGCAGAAATACCCCTACATGGATTCCTCCCCCAGAGGGCCACGTAAAACTTAACTTTGATGGATGCTCCTTTGGAAAACCCGGTCCGACAGACATTGGAGGAGTGTTCAAAAATCATGGAGGAGTAGTACTTCTCACCTACTCAGAATACATAGGAACCAAAGACTCGCAAACAGCAAAAGGCTTGGCTCTGCTAACTGTAATCAAGCTCTTTAATATTTCTTGGGGTAGAATCTTACAGATTGACGGAGATGCCAAAAACATCATAAAGTGGGGTTTTGGTAAAAGAGACCCACCTTGGTACTTGGCCCATTTTTTGATGAGATCGATCACTTATGCAGGGACTTGGAAGTTACTTGGAGGCACACTCGAAGAACCGCAAACGCAGCGGCAGACGCACTCGCTAAAGAAGCGGCCCAGCAGCTTATCTAATAGGATGTTTAATCTGTGTAAAAGGGCTTCTTTACTAGTCCTAACTGTTTTATGTTTACCTCTATTCTCTACTCTTATTATAACGCAAGAAAAGGGCTACAATTCTAATCTACCCTATTTGTCCGCTTTTGTACTTGGGCACAAATATAAGCCCCACTCCACTGTAAGCCCTCGCCGCTGTAATGTGAGTCTATGTAGAGGAAGTCTTTGCAGGTCCTCCTCACAAGGACCACGATACTGTTGAGGACATGTATGAAGGCCTCACAATATCGACAAACTCTTGTACTTTATTTTCAGTCAATGCTAAGTTAATTTCTATCAAAAAAAAAAACCAACTGCATATGCTCATGGTTTATCATCTGAAAAACCACCCAAATGCTACCAACATGGTTTTTCAATAACCCTGTGGTTTTTTGGTTGCTTGAATTTGATAACTGTTGTAAACCACCCAAATGCTCATGCTTTATCTGAATCTGAAAAACAGTAACCGAAAGCAACCCTCTAGGTTTGTAAACCAGCCACCCAAATGCTCATGTTTATCATCTGATAATGTAGTTTCATGAAAACCATCTTTTACTCAGAGCCAAAAATTTGAAACTTCTCTAATTTCAATACCTTCTTTGAAAACTTATAAAATTACAAAAAAAAAAAAAAATTAAAATTAAAATAAGAAATACATAATCCTACCCCTAAAATTTACATATACCAAGTAAGAATGGATTACGACAAGATAAGCCACCAATAAAAAATATCCTCAAAAAATTAAAGCGATCACTTCCCCTAATATTACCCATTATATTACCATTATGGTTATAGTTTACCCATGGGCCTTTTTCTTACAATAATTTTTCATATTAAAATTATAATTTTGTTGAAATATTGCTCAAAATTATAAATAAATAAAATTTAAAAATAAAACTAATTCAAACCTTTTCAATTTTTAAGTAATGTGTGATTATCTAAATTAAAAAAGAAATTTTAATTCAAACCTTTTCAATTTTTAATTAATGTGTAATTATCTCAATTAAAATTCTTAGATGGAAGAGGTACGTTTCCGTTGAGAGTTGAGAGATGAGAGAGTTTTAAGGAGAGATGCATCTTTTCAAATATCGAGATACAAAAAAACTGAAATTAAAAATAAAAAAATAAAAAAAAAGAGAGGGAAAAGAGATGGGAGAGGTGCATGAGATGAGAGATGCGGGTTTTAAGAAGAGATTACCTTTTTCAAAATTTGAGAGAGCAAATTAATTTAGAAATTCAAAAAAAAAATCTAAGGAAAGATTGAGAGGTACATGAGATACCTTTTCAAATTTTGAGAGAGAAAAAACTTGAAATTCAAAAAGAAAAAATTTAAGGAAAGAGATGGGAGAGATGCATGAGATGAGAGATAGAGGAATTTTAAGGAGAGATTCATGTTTTCGAATTTTGAGAGAAAAAATATAGCAATCCAAAAAAAAAAATTGAAGGAAAGAGATGAGAGAGTTTTTAAGGATGCACCTTTTCAAATTTCGAAATTTATTTATTTTCTTTAATTTATTATAACATACTTAAACTTCTATTATTTTCTTTATAATGTCAACAATTTAGTTTTGCTATTTGAAATCTTTGTTATTCTTCTATTCTCATTGCCTATCTATGCAATCTCCCACTACAAGAAGATGTGATTAGTTGTGTGAAGACTTTTCGCATATTAAAATACTATTATACTGCATGTCCTTGCAAATATACCATAATATTTATGTCATGGGCTATATTAGGGTACTCACACTATGGAGTAATTTATTATTGTACTCAACAATTTTGGACATTTTTATACCCTTATTTTGTACATGGAGTATTTTTGTAATAAGGGTATTTTTGGTCATTATGAAGGGTGTAATGTCACCCAAATGGAGCATTAAATGCCACTAGTGTGCTCTATGTGGGTGATATCACTCCCCATGTAGATGACATCACACCCTCCTAATTACCAAAAATGCCCTTACCAAAAAAAAGCTTCATATACAAAACAAGGGTATATATGTGTCCAAATTTTGTTGAGTACAATGATAAATTACTCCATAGTGTGAGCAGCCTAACATAACTCTTATGTCATTGCCTATTTAATTTCTACGTGCAACGCATGTAAACCCACTAGTTGCAATAACAAGGCAATCATTGCTAGAGTTCACAAACCGGTCTAGCACGATAGAACCAAGGCTAAAGAGGTAGACCGACATTTCATTCGAGAAAGAGTTGCTCACAAAGAAATGTGCAGCACGCTATTGTACTCTAGTTGGGGGTAACCATGTGAACATTTCATTCGAGAAAGAGTTGCTCACGGAGAAATTTCCATCACGCTATTGTACTCTATTGGGGGTAACCATGTGACTTCAAGGAGTAAAAACAATCAGCTGTAGCCTATTCAAGTGCAGAAGCAGAGTTAGAAATTTTATTATGAGAGCTTGATTTTCTTGTGAAGGAGTCAATGTCCTGGCAGTGTAATAACAAAGCAACCATCAGTATAGCTCACAAACGGGTCTAGCATGATAGGACCAAGCATGCAGAGATAGAGTGATAGAGTGATAGACTGACATTTCATTCGAGAATGAGCTGCTACTAAAGAAATTTTCCTTCCATATGTAAAAACCGATTACTAGCGAGTAAGCATTTTCACCAAGGCCATTAGGAGACCTCGACGGCAAGTGATCCTTAGCAAGCTGAGCATGAGGGGTATGTATCCATGTACCAGCTTGCGAGGGAGTGTTGTGAATGTTAAAATTTCTACTCTTTCTTATTGTATTTAAGTCCCTACAGACTTATGTGTCTTTTCACTCACTAAAAAGATATCTTGTATACAATTACAAAATAACAATATATTAGAAGAGAGGAGTGCGTGGATTTTATTAGAATCCCACAAGATTCCCTCTCTAAACCTCTCTTTCCTTCGTCCTCACCTCATTTCTCTCTCGAGATCCTCTTCTCCCTCATACTACTTCTTTTCCGTTGTATATTTTAACTTAGGATGCAACAAATCAAACTCAAATAAAGTAACCCAATCTTAGAAAAATGAGGTCAAGAAACCCAAACCCACACTACAAAAACATTTAGTAATAGACAAGATCATAGAACTCAAAAAAAGAGAAAACCCAAAAAATTCCCTCGAGCGAGACCATTTTCCAACCTGGGGTGGGGGCGCAAGGTACCTTCCTTGGCCCAAAAGGCGGGTGCCTTTTGTTTGCTCACCCTAGGCTCGCCTAGGGCCCTCAGCCCACCCAGGAGAATTTAAATACCGATCAAATCAAAATTTGACCTTAAGTGCGACAACCCTTCTTGGCTTTCTAGAATTTGACATTTTGCATTCAAAAGAAGTTAAGTTTAAGATTTTGTTTCATCATCCAAAAAGTTTTAAACATTTTGTTTTATTCCTACGCATGGCTGGTGGTTAGATAACCAACTCGCACGAAGTTCCTTCTTTAACAAAGGAAAATTTCTAAAGCTATTGGAGTTTTGGCATGGGCTTGATTCATGTAAGTGTAGACAATTGACCGCCCAAGTTCAATCCCACTGCCAACCTACCCAAAGAGAGAAAGATTTGCAAAGGTGTATTATAGAAAATATTTCCTTAAAATGCATGTTTACAAGACCAATACAGAGTTGATATCTGAAAATTATCAAGCAAGAATAACTTGTCATCACCACAAAACAATATCTATCAAATAAATGTAAGTGAGAAGCACAACACAACAAACATACATCATGCATACCTCCTCTGCCACTGGAGAGGTTCTATCATCTTTATCAAATACAAAGGCGAGAAGAACATGCTTGAACTCCTCATATGCTTCCTAAATAACAAACAGCTAAAAGCAGTTAAATTCAAGAGATAACAAAACATAAAAGCAAAAATAAAAATAAAAAAATAAATAGGAAAACTTGCATTATCATCACAGAAATTAACAGAAAAATTCATCAAACATATAAGCCAAGCTCAATCCTAAAATTTCATATGATTCAGTAAATACAATATACATTCCATCATTGCTGGATCGATCCATATGGTTCGATAAAGAGTGATCCAATAATGGGATTTTTCGATAAATGGAAAACTTAAGTAAGATGCTATAATACTTCAAGATTCTCTTTTCATAAATAAGAATAAGAAAAATGATCCTATAGGACCCTCCCCCACCCATGTGTGTAGGACCCCAAAGGATCACCATTAAATTTGGCACATATCTATAGAAAAGTCAAGTCACACACTCATGTAATAACTTTTCTAAAGATCTGTGCTAACTTTAATGGTGATCCTTGGGGTCCTGCACACATGGGTGGGGGAGGGTCCTATAGGATCATTACTCTAAGAATAAACATTTTATTTTCCATAAATAAGAATACTTCAACAAATTTTATTTTCACCAATTATTTCACTACTTCGTCTTCAGAACTACACAAACGAACCAAAAATAAAAATTCATTGCATCACAACTGAGACAAGAAATGCCAATACTACAAACAAAATAACCAGTGCAATAAAGACTAAGCTTGTTCTCCATACTCCTAGACCTCAAAATCCCATAATTGTACACATCTTGCATTCCTCCTTGTGATGAGCGCAAGTCAAGGTAACTTCCGATTACATAATGTGGAGATCCCTTGATGATTATCATCGAGATAAAAATCACCTTGACCACCTAATTTGGAGATATTTTCTCCAATACTAATGTCCCTATTACATTTTGATAAACAATAGCACACGCCTTAAAAGGAAATGCAACAAACAAATTGATGACTAGGTAGAGAACTGTCCTCATAAATAATTGAGAAATAAACAAAAGATCAGGCCAGTGGAAAATCCCAAACATCAGTCTGTCTCTCTCAGGCCCCAAACTAACCACTGGTCTATGATTGTATGCCTTTCTTTTGGTGAAATTTCATGCAACAGGAAGAGAAAACATCCTCTCCCAAAGAAAAAAAAAAAAAAAATTCTGCCACTCAACATGGAACTATAGAAAACTTGTTGCTCCAATGGATAATGATTCAATGGGTCAGCCTCAACTATGCAACAATCCATGAAATTTATCACCAAGATATGAAACAAACTACAAGTGCTGGCTGCCTCTAACCACATCAAGTTCCTCTCACACATAGGACCCACATAAACTTTTCTCTTTTTTTTGAGAAAAAGTTAACATTGTATTGCTATAAGGAGAGAGAGTACAAAGTGGAGTGGGGGGAAGATGGGACCGAGAATACTCATGAGACCGGTCTCTCGGTCAAAAAATTGGTCCAGCGGCCTTATACAAAAAATTGAGCTTGGACCTTCGTAATTACAGAATATGTACTATTACAAAAAATGGGGCTTATAAGAGTGCCCGGTTACAGGAACAATAGATGTGACTAATTACAGCCCTAGACTCCCTCTGTGGTCCAGAGGAAAAAAGGAGATGGACCTGTCGGGGTCTTCGGGACAAGCCCCTGCTCCGTCTTTAGCGAGAAGGTTTGCGAATTCGTTCGAAGTCCGCCAAGTATGCCTCCATAAGACGTTCATATCCCTACGTATGAAATCAATTTCATCAAAAATCATGGAAAGGTCCCAAGGAGGTGTTGTAGTGCCTGCAGCCCAGGAAATGACGTTTTTAGAGTCTCCCTCCACTACCAAAATTGGGCCCCATGCAGGGTTAAAATTTTTGAGACCCATTAGAAGAGCCATGGCTTCTGCAAACTGGGAATCTTGGTCCCCAAGTATTCTGAGTATATAAAAAAGATCTTGCGATTATGATCACGGAAGACCCCTCCAGCTTCAGCCGGGCCCGGATTACCCTACGAACAACCATCGAAGTTAAGCTTTATGGCGTCTTCTAGAGAAGGCTGTCAGTTCTCCCATTGGCTGAGAAACGTATTTGCAGGGATCCCTGCAGAAGCCCTGTGATTAGACGCCCAAAAACCTTATGGAGAAGCACTGGGGCTTCCTTTTTGTTCCTTCGAAAGATCCTCTCATTCCTTTCTAACCAAATTACCCAGATGGTAGCAGCAATGGCAGACTTCCACAAGGTTCTACCACCTTTCAGCCAATGGCACATATAGTAAGAAGAGATGAGGGCCTTGACCGAGGGTGGGGTGACCCATTGAAAGTGGAACAACTGAAGCACCATGCTCCACAGATCATGGGCGAGAGTACAATGAATGAAGAGATGAGGGTTGGATTCCTCCTCTGTCATGCACATGGTACACCTGTTGGGGAGTGGAATACCTCTTTTTTGAATCTGGTCAACTGTGACAGCCCTTTGACAACAAGCTATCCAATTGAATGACTGAACTTTTAGTGGAGCAATGGTATGCCAAACCTTGGATAGGATGGAGATGGCATTAAGAGGAAACGTAGGAGGTTGGATGAGTTTTTATAACAGAGGGCCATTGAAAATGTACCTGATGGAGTGAGGGTCCATACTAGAGCATCCTTCCCAATCGGAGCTAAGAAAAGGGGGTGCAAAGCTATCGAAAGGGAGATGAAAAATCCGGTTGGGCGCCCACTTATAATCTGGAATCCTATATTTGTTTCGAACAACCTTGGCCTAGAGGGAATCAGTTTGAGTTGCCAATCTCCACCACCATTTTCCTAGTAAAGCCTGGTTGTGTTTTCTTAGGTCACGGATTCCTAGACCTCCAAGAGATTTTGGTAGTTGGACCCTATCTCATGAGATTAGGTGATTGTCTGGATTTTTCAGCCTGTCCAGACCAGAGGAAATTTCTCATAAGTTGGTCCAATCGATTGGCCACCGATGTTGGCAAGTGGAAAATTGACATTAAGTAGACCAGGGCATTTGCCAAAGTGGTTTTGATCAATGTGGATCAACCCGCCAAGGAAAGAAATCTCCCTTGCCATCTTGCCAATCGCCTATCCACTTTGTCTATGACTTGGACCCACATAAACTTTTTGATGTCTCCATTACTAAGATATATTAGTTCTTGTGACCCAAGGGCCCTAAGTTGCATTCGGAGCTTCCATCCAAACTTAAAATGATTGCTCCTGCGGAAGGGTTCACTACTCTACTTGTGCTCCGATGTTTTTCAATGACTCACATCATGGCTGTTGAATACACACAAGCAGGACTTTCTTTAAGATGGGGAATTGTAAGGACCACGTCACATACTTCTACAACGTTGCTGAGGCTACCCAGAAAAAGACATATTTGGCTATGGTTGTTCTAATTCTCTCTCTTCATATCCTCCATACACTGACATGAGCCACATAGAATATTCCTAGGATCCCATGGGGTTGTAGACCATGATTGGAATGAAAATAATCAGATATCGTTATCCAGAAATCAAATGGCAGCGACACAGTTCCAAATATGTTAAGAGTAAAACCAATTGATGCTGAAATGATTTATTTCTTCTTCATCATTTTTACATAGGACATATGTTAGACATTGAGAAACTTCTGTGCTTAAGGCGATAAAATGATTTGTTTAATTCTACCATTACATATAAAACAAAGACCAACGCCACCACCCGAAGAGGCCCTCCCTTAAATCCAACAGTCAAGGAAGGATAAGTCATCATATGAAGAACAGTTTTTAGAGATCATTTAACTGGGAAAAAAAAAAGAAAAAGAAAAGAAAAGACAAGAAACTGAAAGCCTCCATCTCTTACTGTTTGTCCTTTCTAATATTATCTCTTACACAAATTTGAACAACACAAATAAAGCTATCAACTCCTCTATCTCCTCATTTCCAAGAATCTCCAATCATGACCTCTATCTCAGGACAATAATCTAGGAAAAAGCCTAAAGGTTCTCCCGTCCAAAAAGTCATGAGCAGCTACTTTCTTGTTGATTGATATAGGTTTATTGTAACATATTGTTCAGACTGGGTGGCTGGGATATGATGTTGATCGAAAGAAGAGGCTTGGACATACTCTTTTATGGACTCAGGGTTCTTTTTTCCACAAAGTTTCTTAATCCTTTTAGTCCAGTTTAAGCTTGATTTATCATACACATGATAAGGATTGATCAACTGAGATTGAGTTTCAAAAAATTTTTCAGGAGTATAGGTAAATTCGAAAAGATGTTCTTGTTTTGAAAACATAGGTTCAGAGGTGGATGAACGAGGAGTATCTAAACTTACTTCTGAAGAAATATCTCCTGCCATGAGTTCGAAAATATCTTGGTTGTTGACTGTAATTTTGGTTTTGGTTTGAAAAGGCTGACTTTCTCTTACTGCATGTTAAAAGTATGATCTCCGTTCTTAAGCCATTCCTCAGCCCCTCAGAGTTCCTGTTATTAACATGAAACTCAAGAAAGTTTGTAGCAGTGTAATAAATTCACTGAAATTAACCTTTAAGTTATATTTTGTGTTATGATAATTCAACTCCTGCATGAACACTATTTCAAACCACTTACCCTCCCTGCCTTTTTTTATACTGGCGCATCTGCAAGCATATTAAAACCTGATCTGCTCCCTAAACAATTTTGGGAAACCTGCACCCAGTCCTTCAGAGCTGTCAATGGAGAAAAGTTTACCATCACCCAAATCAGCAAACTTATCCTCTAACATAGACTCTTAGGATCATTTTTACCCAACAAAGACCTCCTGATAGGATTTGATGTCCTACACCAGGTAAAATTGCACTGGACTTCCAAAGGTCTGCACTATGGAAACCTCACACTCCCATGGACAGCCAGTTTAGATCAACCTTTAACCTTAGAACAGGTCAAAGACAAAATTATTTCTGATTGTTGTGCTACCTCTCATTCAGAATTTTTGAAAAAATGCACAAATCCTTTGTGGAGAAACCAAAACTTCTATGTCAAACTTCCATTCAAAAGGAATGAAGACATAAACCC